TATATATATATATATATGCATTCATATATATCTATTTATGTATATGTATAACACATAATATATTAGGGGCTTCATCAACATTTTCAACAAAGGCATTAGAATATGTTATTTGAGTGTTGGTGCACGGAGCATGGCGAGGAAAACAACAAAAGATAAATTAAATAAAAACATCCTTTTGATGTATTTGCTGCAGTTGGTGTTTACTTAGGACGCGAGTAAAAGCAAAGAAAGATGCTTTGTACAAGTTAAGGGTTTTATCTAATATTTAATAAAAAAGGTCCTAGCAGTTATACTGAGTGTTTCTATAACTACTTTTCTTTACCTTTACATTAAACAAAAGATAACGCAGCTTTCTTTTATATTTTATTGTAGCAATTGTTTGCTGTGTAACGACACATATATATATATATATATATATCGACAATATATGAATAGTACAACGAATAATAATATAGCAGCTGGGGCCCCCTAAGGTGATGAAGAGGCCTCTATCTTCTTTTTAATTTATATTTTTATTTGTATTTGTCGTTTTATAGGCAAATTCGAATTCTGTCGCTGCTAATTCAAGAGATTTTCTTCTTTTATACGCCAGCAGCGAATAATACTACTTATTGCAGCAGTTGTTGCTGACGAATCCCGACGAAAATTCCATTAATTCAATAAAAATATATTATCATTTTATATTTTAATTAGAAGAAATATGTTTCTTTTGTTGATTTACCTTTTTTCTTTTTCGAAACCACCGGAGGAGCAGCACGCGTTCGCTGCGTCGGGTGTATAGGCACCTCTACCAACTCTGAGTTTTTGTATGGATGAAATGTTCGTAAAACGGAGATTAAAATAATAAATATATTATTATAATTGTAGAAATCGAATAATAATGCTGCATCCCAACCTAAAGAAAGCAGTATAGAGACCGCTGTGCCTATCATATCTCAGGGTTCCTGCTTGCAGTACCGGTGGTCTTTGCAACGGGAATTCGTGCGTGTCTATTGTTGTTTCTGTGGGATAAACATCTATTTTTTGGAGTAAATTGCATTTAAAAACATAAATAAAGGGCATTAGTGCTCTATTTCAGGTCAAAACAAGCAAAAACCCTGAGGTTTCCCTCCAGTCTTTCTCGTTTCCTGTATACCCAGGCATAAGCGGGCGCTCAACAACCTCTCGTCTATCAACTCAATGGCCCCATAAATTCTTTTTCCGCTCATTTTCCATAAACTTCTGCAGGTTATTGAGGGATTTAAACTCGAATTTCTCAGGTTTCCCTCGTATTCTAAAACAGAAGCCTCAGCTTCTTCTCTGTCGGTTCCCAGTCAGGTGTATGCACATCACGCCTTCTGCTAATAGGAAGGCCAGCAGGTGTTGAGTGTTCATTCAGGTTTATTTTTCTTCTTTTTTTCTGTTGAATCCAAATATTAGGGTCTTTTAGCCACTGAAAGACCAGAGGGAGCAACAGAAGGAACCTGCCTCTTGCCCTATACACCTGGCAGGGGAGGCAGCTTCCTCACGTAACGATGTTTAACTCGGAGGTCTTACCCGGCTCGCAGCTGCAGCCGCAATTGCAGCAGCAGCAGCCACAGCAGCCGCAGCAGCCGCAGCAACAGCAGCAGCAGCAGCAACAGCAGCCTCAGCCGTTGGCTGAGACTGGTTCTTCTTCCAGTTACCCGCCTCCTTTTGGTATAGAGGGTATATCTCCTTGCAGCGTTTCTCGGCGCCAGCTGCAGCTCCAGCAGCAACAGCAACAACAACAACAGCAGCAGCAGCAGCAGCAGTTTCCGCAGCAGCAGCAGCAGCCTTTGGAGTCTTTAGTGAATGGTTCTACCAGCTTAATTCGCGAAGAGAGCGCTTGCTCTGCTCCTGCTCCTCGTCCTCGTAGGCGATTTTCTCGTATAAAGAAGAAGGGGTCTGAAATGTTAGATGCAGCATTTGCTCGTCACGGTATGATAGTGTATGATCATGCTTGGAAGTTTATAATAGGGTTTGCTGTCTTAAGCTCTATTATGGCTTTGGGTATATTCTTTAGAAAGAATGAATATGATATGTATAAGTTATATAGCTACCCAGGGGCTCCAAGCCACAATGTTCGGCAGCTGTTAGAGTCTACATTTACACCTCAGCGTTTTAATTATTTCTTTGTAACAAGAGATGATAATATATTAACAAAGGAGGGGATGCAAGAGATAAGTAATCTAATTACAGCAGTAAAACAATTAAAAGTAACACGTGATGAAGTAGTTGTAGATGAGTATGGAAATGAACTAAATGCAGGTGCGCAGACACCCGAAGACCTACCTCAAGTTCTAAGTTATGAAGACTTATGCGTAAGAGACTCGTGGGATGATTGCAGCATATTATCAGTATTAGAGTTATATTCTTCTGAAAGACAGTGGGGTAGGCCTCTTATAACGCGTGACTGGCCTCTAGCAGTTAATATACACTCAAGAAAAGCGTTTCATTTGGAGTCCTTATTAGGCGATATGAGGGTAACGCAAGTTGTAGATAGTGAAGGCCTGCATATACACCGTGTAACAGGAGCAGCTGCATGCTTACTGCGGTTTGATTTAAAAGGAGATGTATCTGTTGCACCATACTCAGCAGCATTAGAAAGAAAGATAGAAGAAGTTGCTAAGGGTTTTAAGTCGGAAGGCTTTTCGCTTACATATAAACTTGAGCGTTCTATAGCTGATGAGTTAATGCGTTCATCTTCTATGGGGCCTGCAGAGACAGTAGCATTAGTATTAGCAACTCTAACAGTATTATTCTATACTGTTGTAGTTAATAGCAGCACAAGCTATAGAACAAAGACGATACCTGCTGTTATATCTGTTGCTTCTACATTATTAGGCTATGCAGGAGGCGCTGGATTTATATATTTCTGTGGGGTTGAGCATACACCTCCTTCTGATGCGACACCGTTTCTTGTCTTAGGGATAGGTGTAGATAATGCATTTGTTTTATTAAACTCTTATTGTTTGACGTTTCTTCATGATACACCTAGACAGAGAATTATTAGTACAGCTAGAGATGCAGGTGTATCTATAACCATTACTACTATGACAAGTGTAGCTGCTCTTATTATCGGAGCTGTCTGCCCCTTCTTTAGCATTTGTAAATTTTCTATTGTTACTGCGTTTTGTTTGGCTTGGTCATATATACTAGCTCAGACAATATTCTTAGGTTGTTTATCTCTTGATGCTAGAAGAGAAGCTCATTATACAAAAAAAGCTAAAGCAGCAGCAGCAGCAGCAGCAGCAGCAGCAGCAGCAGCGGGAGCGGGAGCGGGAGGAGCAGCAGAGAGAGATTTGCATGCATGCAAACAACTCAATAGACAGATGGCTATGCAGCAGCAGCAGCAGCAGCAGCAGCAGCAGCAGCAGCAGCAGCAGCAGCTTCCGTCTTCTGCTTATCAACAACTATGTTCCCCCCAGAGTGCTGATAGTAATTCTTTTAATAATTCTGCTGCTTACACTTCACTTCAGCCGTTTGCAACAGTTAATACTGCACAAAGAGTTCAATATGAATCAGAAGAAGAAGAAGCAGCAGCAGCAGCAGCAGCAGCAGCAGCAGGACAGGCAGCGGATGCCGTCTCCGGGTTTCCTCCTTCCCAGCAGCAACAGCAGCAGCAACAGCAGCAGCAGCAGCAGCAAATGAACAATAAGAGAGGTGTATATGAAGTGGAACCAGAAGAATCTTCTTCTTCTGCTGCAGTAGCAGCAGCAGCAGAGTCTCAGCAGCAGCTCTCTGTAGATATGCTGTGGTGGAGAGGCGATGTAGATATAACTTATGAAAGAGATATATTAATATCTTTAAAAAAACTCTCGACCTATGAACTAGCCTCTATAATGACGTTCTCTATGGAGCATAAGTGGGATAGAAACAGACAAACAAAGAGAAGATATTTAACTTCTTACTCTGCTGCAGCAGGAACAGCAGCAGCAGCAGCAGCAGCAGCAGCAGCAGCAGCAGCAGCAAATGAACCTGCAGAAGAAAGCGATGAAAAATATACAAAACAAAAACATACAACACCAATACGCAGCTTCTTTGCTTTTCTTCGCTTTAATAATATAAATAAAAATTATAAAAATAATTATAATAAACAAAACATTATCAATGAAAATCAACCGCCTATCAGAGGCCCCTCCTTAGAAGCAGGGAATCCCGAAGAAGAGCAGCAAAATAACAGCAGCAGCAGCAGCAGCAGCAGCAATGTGAAGCAAAGCCAAGCAGCACCATTTGCAATGCATGCAAATAATAATAAAGAAGCAGGACAAGCAGAAGACCTCTTATTCAGGTATGTATAATATATATAATATATAATATATATTATATATATAATGCATTATTATATAATATAAAATAATATATAAGTATATATTAGAGTAGATTATATGTGCAGATATTAAACAAAAAGACAGAAGAGAGTGAAGAGGCTAAACATCAACAGCCGCCTCCTTGATGTTATTAAATAAATAAAAATATATAGATATATGTAATTATATATAAACATATTAAATATATAAATATATATATTTATATATTTATATATTTAATTACATATATAGTGTGATTAGAGCAGCAAAAAGAAATTATTTGTTTATTATTACATTCTCTCTTCTTGCTTGTGCGTCTATCTGCATGCACAGAAACCCAGCAGCAGCAGCAGCAGCAGCAGCAGGAGCAGGAGAAGAAGACGAAGAGAAGCCTGAAGGACAAGAAGAGGCAGAAGAAGTTAACGATAAAAACAATGATAAAGAAGCAGCAGCAAGCTCTGCTCGCATTGTTTGCATGCGCAGAGGACCGCCGCGAGAAGGATATATGTTTATTGAAGAGAACAAATTTTTAAGAACTCTGGACAAATATATCAATGAGCCGAAAGGCAATGTCGGAAAAATATACAGAAGGCTGCTAGGAAAATACTACTGCAGGTATACACCCTAAACCCTAAACCCTAAACCCTAAACCCTAAACCACAAACCCTAAACCCCAAGCGGTGAAACCTAAAGTCGAAACCGTTAACGCTGAACCCTAAACCATCAGCCGTAGAAATATCTCGTTGAAATGATTCTGCATTTTACTGCACCTGCTGCTGCTGCTGCTGCTGTTGCTGCTGCCCCCTGCTGCTGCTGCTGCTGCTGCACTCTGCTGCTGATACTGCTGCCGTCAACCGCTGCTTCCCTCTACTGCCGCTACTACTACTACTACTACTACTTCTACTACTACTACTACTACTACTACTACTACTACTACTACTACTACTACTACTACTGCTGCTGCTGCTGCTGCTGCTGCTGGTGCTGCTGCTGCTGCTGCTGCTGCTGCTGCTGCTGTAGGTTGATGGGAAACAAGTGGATTCGGCGTTTGGTGTTTTTGGGTTTTGCTGCTCTGATTTCTGTCGGTGTATTCGGCGTGACGAGGATGAAGACAGGAATTACAGCAGACGAAATAACGCCTACAGATTCTCATTTGATTGTATGTTCTATTCTCTTTAATTTAATTAGTTGTATTCTTTTATTCTTTTATTTAATTTATTACTTTACTTTATTCTCTTTTATTTAATTTATTATATTACTTTATTATCCTCTATTTTTTTACTTACTGAGGCGTCTTCTTATCTTTTATTCATATTATTTCAGCAATTAATTAATTAATTAACTGTATGATGTTCTTTTAATATAATGCATTTAATTAATAACATTATAATATTTTATTATAATTTAATTGCACTGTTTATAATAATAATATATTAATTTTTTTATACTGTTGTTGATATTAATTTAATTTTACTTTGAAATATTTTTGTTTTTCTGTTAATTTCTTTGACTTTTGCCTTCGCTCTGATTTTAATTGTAATTATATGAAGACATGGTTGTGCATGCATTTGAAGTAATATAAATGAGTGTATGTATGTATATACGTATGTATGTATGTATGTTTGTTTGTTTGTTTGCATGCATGCATGCATGCATGCATGCATGCAGCCATTCTTTGCTGATAGGGCGAAATATTTTAGCTCTTTAGGTGAAGAAGTTACTGTTTTCTTTCCACGCAAAGATAATTGGGCTTCAAAAGAAGTAAAAGAACGAATATTAGAGATAAACGATAAAATGAAGTCTTCAGGATATGCTCTAGCTCTTTATAACGGTATGGCGATGTTCTTAAAAGAAAAATATAACAGTCTGCAGGATGGAGATGAAGATATGTTCTATGAGATGTAAGACAAATATAATTCAATATACTCGCTTCAAAGACTTTAAAAAATAAACAGTATATATAATAATAAATATATATATATATAATGAATATGTATTGTATCTATTATATTTTTTATGAGATGTAAGACAAATATAATTCAATATACTCGCTTCAAAGACTTGTAATCATAAGCAATATATAAATAATTAATAAATAAATATATATATATATATATGTATGTATGTATGTATGTATTGTCTGTATTATATGTTTTATGAAATGTAAGACAAACATATTTTAATATACTTGCTTCAAAGACTTGTAATCGTAAGATATATATAAGTATATATATTGTATATTATATATATATATTTGTGTAGAGTAATTATATTATTTAATCGAGTTAAAGACAGCCTCAGTTTTTGTATTATTAAATCGATGAACAAAATCACAAAAATATTTTTTTAAAAATATAATTTTATATATTTTTTTGTTTTTCTTTGCGTTAGTCTCTAGGAAAGAAGCCTGTATCTATATATCATTAAAAGATAATAATAACAGTAATAATATAATAATATAACAATATAATAATATAATATATATATATATAATAATTAGAGTTTAAGTTGCTGTATGTCTCAGGTTATATAACTGGCTTCAAAGCGACGCCGTCGGACGTCAGTTTCGAACATCATTTATATGGGATGATTCTTCATCTTCATCTTCATCTTTATCTTCATCTTTATCTTCATCATCATCTTTATCATCATCATCATCTTTATCATCATCTTTAACTTCAAATGAAAACCGAAAGCCTCGATTGATAGCCTGGAAGTTCACATTTTGGCTGCCGCACAGCCTGGATGCATATCTTCTTCTCGACTGGTTTAAGTTTACGCAAAAACTTCTTCGGGATTCTTCTGCTTTGTTTGAATGCTATGCATTTACTCCTTTAGCTTTGCTCTGGGAGAGCGACCCCTTCACTGTTAAAAGTACTGTCAACAGCCTTCTCTCTGCTCTACTAGCTATCATATTCGTAAGCTTTATATGTATATATATATGCATATATTTATATAAATATGTATATATATATATATATATATAATAATCCCTATATAATATTATGTATATATATGGTGTATGTCTTTATATAGAATGTTACAGCTTTCTCTCTGCTGTACTAGCTATCATATTCGTAAGCTTTATATATATATATATATGTATATATGTATATATATATAAATATATATATGCATATATAATATTATGTATATATGATGGTGTATAGAGTTTTATGTAAACAGCCTTCTCTCTGCTCTACTAGCTATCATATTCGTAAAAATTATATTACTCTTTTAAATATATATATATATATGTAATTATATATATATATAATTATATATACACATGTATATCATGCTTCTGCTTCTGCTTCTGCTTCTGCTTCTGCTTCTGCTGCTGCTGCTTCTGCTGCTGCTGCTGCTGCTTGTGCTGCTGCTGCAGATGACGGTATTGCTAATCCCGGATGTGTTATCAGTGTTAATTGTAGCGCTGACGGTTTTATTAGTAGATGTCTGTCTCTTCGGGTTTATGACGATTTGGGGGCTGCGGCTAAATTTAATTACGATGGTTAATTTGCTGCTAGCTATAGGTGAGAAGTTTATTATGCATGCAATATTTATTTTATTTATATCTTTATTTATTATTTACTCTTATTATATATGTTTATTTATCTTCTTTTCTATGTTAATATACAGATAAATATATCTTCTAATGAAATACTCATATTTATTTAAGAAACTGTTGGTTTAAAGCTGTATATATATAAATATAAATATATATAAATATATAAATATATATATAAATGATATATATATATATATGCATATATATATATATATTTATAAATGATATATATGTATATATATATGCATATATATATATATATATTATATATATCCACATAAATAAAATATAAATGAAATAAAAACTATATATATATCTATATATATATATATATATATATATATATATTGCGAATAAATGTATATGCATGCAGGTTATTCAGTAGACAGCACTTTATTTTTGCTGCATGCATTTACTCATGGGTGTGGCGAGACAAGAGAAGCACGAATGACTGAAGGGATGCTGCTGATGGGCTGCCCAGTAGCTAACGGCATGCTGAGCACTTTATTAGCTGTCTTTTATCTTGTCGGCACGACAAAGTTTGTTCTCATTGCATTCTTCAGAATGATGGTGCTGGTGAGGGTAATTGCTTTAAATGTTCTTTTACCCTTATATCCACCTCTTTATCTTCTTCAATTTATCTTTGTCGTCATGCTTATGTCTCTATCTCTATGTTTATCTCTATGTTTATGTCTCTATCTCTGTGCTTATCTATCTATCTCTATGTTTATCTATCTCTATGCTTATCTATCTATCTCTATACTTATCTATCTATCTCTATGCTTATCTCTCTATGTTTATCTTCGTCTTCACTTCTGTCTCTGACTGTCTGTCTATATCTGTCTATGTCTGTCTATGTTTGTTTCTCTGTCTGTCTTTGTCTGTCTGTCTGTCTGTCTGTCTGTCTGTCTGTCTGTCTGTCTCTCTCTGTCTCTATATCTCCTTCTGTTTTGTCTATATATATATATATATATGTGTATATATAAATGCAATATATATCTTATATATATATATGTATATATATATATATATATATATATAGATATAATATCTGTATGTATATCTGTCTCTCTGTCTCTGTCTGTATTTTTGTTTATTTGTTTGTCTTTGTCTGTTTGTCGTTCTTTCTTTTTTTATTTATTTATTTGTTTTTTTGCTGTAATACCCTTTGACTCAAACTCCTTCTACTTGCCCTGTAACATAAATAAAAATATATATAAATAAATATATAAATAAATATATAAATATACATATGCAAGTAAATATAAATATATATCTGTATATAAGTGTATACATATATATATATATATATATGCACAGAGATATATCAACATCAATAAATATACAAAAAACATCTATGAATATATATA